CCGTTGCTTTGCACTAAATCGTTACGTTTATTGGATCACGGTCGTTATAAGCGTTATTTATTTTGACTCCCGTTGCGTCTATGCAATATTTGTCGTTGTTGAGAAATGCTTTTGTGTATAAAGACAATTTTTATATATCATTTTATAAATAATATTAAAGTAATAAAAATAACATAGCAACTCGGTTTTTATACTAATATTAGCTTTAAGGGCCAAAACTTTTTAGTCCATTCGAGAATGACTTGGATAAATTTTTGAAATACAAGATTAAATTTACGCGCTGAGTCTTTGAATCAGATGAGCTTCGTAATATTACTTTCGATTTTCTTTAATTACTTGAACCATGAACAATGAGAATTGAATTATCTATCTATATTAATAAATAAAAAATAAATTAGTGGCCCTACAACCTTTTTAGGTTTGGGCCTCAGATTTCTGTATCTGTGTCATAATTATTTGTCAATCTAATTGGCAAGTAGATGATCAGGCTCCTGTGAATGACACACGCCGTCGACTGTTTGGGTTTAAAGCAACACGGTTTCTTTAAGATATTTTTTATCACCGTTCGAGCAAATGTTAAATGCCCAAATAGAAAGTCCATTAGTACACAACCGGGGACGAACCTACGACCTCAGAGATGACAGTCGCACGCTGAAGCCACTAGGCCAACACTGCTCTGCAGAATTATTTCTTACCAACACCAAAATGGTCACCGCTTGACTGCAAAACAAGGATATGTTACCACTGTTGCGTAATTCAGAACAGCTCTTTTAAATCGCCAACACTAAGTCGTTTGAATCATCGTAAGTATAATTTTCCGTGTTTTAACGGACGTGTAATAAATGTTACCTATAAAATATTCTTTCCGTGTGGTCGGCGTATTTAATTAATCTGACCCAATATTAAAGTTTACGATTATTTAAGCATTAAGTGGGCTAACAATGTTTAGTTTTTATGATGTTACGTGTGACGTTTAGGTATTTGAAGTAATCGTATTATATATGGTAATTACAGAATGTTTTAAATCTATAAATTAATAAATTTCGTCTTACTAAATACGATTCAGTATTAATTAATAAATAAGACATTAATAATTTTCACAGAAATAAATTGAACGTGTTGATAAGGAACACATGTTTTGTTTACAATTGATTTTTTAAGTAGTAGTACATAGGATGTAGGCAATTTCATGATCAGCCTGTTGACTTAACAACAAGGTGATGGTATCTCGTCAGAGACCAAGACTTACTTTGGCTCGGTACATCTTAAGTAAGTTCGCTTATAATTAAAATTTTGAGGATTAATCGTGAAATTAACGGACCTAGAATGAAATCAATCAGTTTAAATATCTGTAGTACTAATAACATATAACCTATGTGTATTAAAAATGATATATTTCTGTTCATTTTTTATTTTAATCACAGCTTAGATGTTTCGTTTCACAACACAATGCATCCTTCAGCGGTTGTCTTCTCATATCAATGGTACAAATAATCTCATCTTAATAAAAATAGAAGTAATAATATTTTCAACACGAATGTAAAATTTTGGTGTTAATCTAGACGCAAGTCTCTCAAATTAGGACAAGCATTTGTTACCCCACGTGGTATTATTGAATGACCCCAATCCTGCAAATTAGGTTTAACGATCTAACATCTTTAGGTCTTCTTGTCAGACATGTGTGGTTTATTTAAACCTAAATAAATCGCCTTTTAATTTTTTTGGACATCTTTTATTTGTATTGTAATTTACAATAATGATAATTATAAAATCTGTAATAAATAATTATACGAAATAAGTTAAAAATAATTATAATAAACACCGGTATAATAATAAATAGCTCCACAACGTTCAGGTTGCAAATTTCTTTGATAAATTTCTTCACAATCAAGAATCAGTCTTCTTTGCTTGACAAACGTAATTAATGTTTGGGTCGAGACGTCGGTTTCCTCTGCATTAAAAAAATAAATTGTGCCTGTACTAGGTGTACACACGTAAGAAGTGAAACTTCTTTATGATCTTATTTTTCGAAAAATGATCTACTATATGCAACTTTACAGAAATTCGTTAAATTAGATAAAGTTTTACAAAAGGCTTTTATTATATAGACATGAATACAAATATTTCATTTTACCTTATTACTACGAAGATTATTATAGAATTTCATTAATTGTAATAGAATTATTACTATCATTGAAAAACGTGACGATTTGCTACAAAATTTCTCCCATACGTCGATAAAGAAGTTTCATTCCACCGCCGATAAAGAAGTTTGACTTCAAAAAGCAACATGGCGCGTAACCGAAAAATGTGACGCGTAACGAAAAATGTTACACTAAATTTTTTTCCAACCTCGATAAAGAAGTTTCACTTCAATAATATAAAGGTGAAAGGAGTTCTTAGTTCGTGTACCTATTATATTCGTTGAGTTGACTTAAACCGAGGTAAAAAAAGTCATATTTTCATTGTTTTTTATGATCTTGACACTCTGATGTCTGGATATTTCAATCTATCTAAGTCCAATCTCAACACACGCAAGCGTAAATATGGTTCGCGATGTCACCGCGATATCGAAAAGTGATCGTTTCGACACAGTTACGAGTTGTGAGCACGCGCCTTAGATTTATGTTAAGGATTCCTGATATCATCCGATATCATTCTATTTATAGATATTTATAAATAATGACTAACCAAATATTTAATTTTATCAATGTATTTATTGGATTTATGACCATATCGCTGCTAGAAAATCCCGGCGGCAAAGGCATGTCTCTCCTGTCTAATAGTGTAAAAAATATTCTTTTTTTAAAGAGCTATTTTTGTCTAAGTTGTATTGACGTTCATAATTCGGTATAAGAGAGATTATAAATTGTTATTACCTAAAATTAACCTTTCAAAATGACATCATGAAATGAATAAAAATTTCGATTGATGTTTTGTTAATAATATCAGATATACCTTAGTCTTATGCAATTGTAATATGTTAATAAGATGCGTCTGATGTTGCACTCGTGATAACTTATTACCAGCGTACAGTCACGAGCAAAAGTTAAAGCTTTGTTTGGAATGGTTATTACTTTTTAGCCAAGAACAACTAGCAATGCAAAATAATGTTGTATCCAATGTGAAATTAACAACAATTTATTTAAACAATGTGTCATAAATATATAAAAAATCTAGGTTTATCAAATCTACGTTTGCAAAAAAATTTAAATGTTCAATTATATTTTTTTATCTATACTTACTTTGCTTAACTAATACATACTTTAAAATGTAAAATCAAAGTTCATAACTTATAATACATACTTCTGTAAAATGTAATTCTAACAATTTTATCTGGAAATATTAAATAACATACCTTTTATTCAAATAAAGTTGCAAAGAAACGCTTTTGTTGACAACTGTACCGAGATGGCGTTAATGCATTGAAATTTCGTTACTTTAACTAAACTAATTGAAAGTCCATATCAAATATAACCGTTAAGAAATATCAATTTATATTCAATTTAAGTAAAATTTATCGAATACATTTCATACTGCATACATAATTCAAATCTTATTCAATTTAGAGGTGTTCAATAAATTATGACCAAAATTATTTATAACAGTTATTTAACTTAGACATTCTACTGGACATGAATAGTTCTACTAGCTATAAATAATAAATCTTGTCTTACTAATAAGGAGTTTCTGTGCGAATAGTTCTTTAATAATTTGCAAGGTACGGTCTACCTTATTTAGAACTCAATAAAGATTGTTCCATTCTACGCTACTCTCGACATTTTTTTTCATTTTACTGTGTATTCATTAAATAGAGGTAAGTCGCAACGTCGACCCGTACAAGTACCTCAATAGAAATCAACAACAAAGTTAAATGTCAAAGTCTGCCATTAGAGGCTTTTACATTTTGTAAATGTCAACGAAGCTTCTCGAGGGATGTCGGCAAGATAAGTCCACAGGTTAAGGGCGTCCCAGCAGATTGTCAACGGTGAGCAGAGACAGTAGAAGGAGATACAGAATATGGTAAAAGTATATAAAGCAGGTTCGGTTTTAAATAAAGCACTGTTAAGTGCCTATCTGTAACGATTTATTTCTGCTTAACAAAAATCTTCAGCGTGAGAGCGACCTAATTGCGAACATAAAACTTATTATTCAAAATCGTAGTTGAACAAGTTTGTTATAGAAAATGTTTTAAGCAGATAAGTATAATATACATTACTAGTTTATAAGTATAATATACATTACTAGTTTATAAGATAATATACATTACTAGTTTATAAGTATAATATACATGACAGTCCATACTTTGTGAAAAATATATGTTAAGGATCAGGACTGTAGTGGACTAGTTCACTGTAGTTGATGTGATGTGAATTTAGTAAAGTATGATATGTATGTAATACAAAAGAAAGTGGTAGAAATAGGTATCATTGAACTAAGTACAAAGTTTGTAAACAATTTAACGCACGGAACTCGGAAGTGTAAACAATAAAACTGGAAGTTTTATACCTTATAACTGGTAATTTGTTTGGACAAACAGTGGCTTGTGTCAACTCTTACGAAAGCCTACTAACAAATAACACGCATCCGAAGAATCAATATTTTGGCATCAGATTAAAAATTATGATAATGATTGTTGCGCAATGTAAACGAGAATAGACATGTTAAATGCATACAATTTTCTTTTTATTTACTACTTTTCTACAAGCCTGGCTAGGCTCGGGGACTCGTATCCCGTAAACCTAGAAAGATTGTATATCGTAGATATTGTAGATATTAATGAAAACCAAAATTAAGTAGTTTTTGAGTGTATCAAAACATAGGCGGATTAAGGACTTGTTTATAAAATATAATATAAAAGTATACTGTCGGTAACTTTTGTATTATCAAGTTTTACAACTTTTCACTAGAACTCTATCATATATTATACAGTTATTTATAACGTTATAACATAGGTAATATATGCGACGCTTTGCAAATGTAAATGCTCTCAAATAGAGATGAACATGTACAAACTCATACCTGCAAGCTATGAATTGATGCAATGTGTAGGTATATGTAAAAATTAAATAGTTGGCGCTTTGCATTACTAGACTAGTATACTTACTGAATATTATACTTAACTTGGTAACGGGGATTTTAGATCTGATTAAAGTCTTATCGTAAAGAAAATGTAATTAGTTTTTTCTATCAGCTCTGTTTTCGAGATACATAAAAATCATTTTTTACAATAAATATATATATTTTATGGCTAAACATCAAGAAATTGTCTTTTGACCGATTGGCTATAATCAAAATGGTTTTGGGAATCTCGGATGATTCCCCTACAGTAGTCGGTCATATAAGTTCCCATCTTCCTTGGTATCTGTCTCCATTGTTTTATGTCTCGGTAATTTCCTTTCCTTGTCTTCGCTTAATCCAGATTTCTAAGAGAGTGAAAACTTCATCTCATATTACAGCCTATATCGTTGAATAAATCAGCATAACTTCTACTAATTTCAAGGTCCAGGCTTATTTTCGAGGAAATTCTTACAACTGCATTTTATCGATGAGACACAGTTCCAGGTGTTTGATAGTCATCAGTCATTCTCTTAAACATGGTTAGGATTTAGATTTCCGTCTCCAAAAATCAACAAATTGGTGAAGAATAAGGCGATATTAATTATCCTAACATTTTCTGCATGAAGAATTGAGGGATTTAGTGTTTCGAACGTTAATAAGTATAATTTTTTTGAAATTTGTGATTACAAAAGTAATCCCATAATTTTTTTTGTCTTCGTCGTATCATGCATCCAAACTTTAGACTTAGGGAAACTTTCTCCATGACGATTAGACCAACTATATGTGCACACATTATACACACCTGTATATTTCAATTCAAACCAAAATTAAATACAAACACTGTTTGACGATAGTAACTTATCATTTGTATCAAATCAAATAACCTTACACGCAATATCTCGTCGAGTCTAGAGTTTAGAAACTTTATCGTTGAATGTAATAACAATTACGACCAAGGCGCACAAATTATTTAAAGTTAAAATACGTATGCCAATATATTGTACATTACCTATTTTATCGACAATATAAAAAAAGGAGCTGCACATAAAAAAATTTTTTTAGGGGTTTTTAATATGAGGTTGTCGAAAGAATGTTTAGTCGACTTGCTGACCTGGGTCTAATCTTCGTCAAACATGTAGCGTGATTGAATCAGATTTCTAAGGGCATTATCGACTCACAATCACGAATGGGCCCATTTAGACGGATTTTCGAATTGGGCACGGGTAGTACTGAAATGGCGACGTTAAAAATCTCGTTCGTATATTATTTTTAATATTAAAGTTAGCGTAGTGTCAATAAATATATAATTTTTGTAATGAGAAATAAGCTTCTTTCAAACGTATCATCTGGGAACCTAAAAGTTGTCTTTGTCTTAAAAAGCACTCGTTACAGCAATTCATTGGAAATCAATTTGACGTTTACACGTAAAACCAATGCTTGAACTTATATAAAAATGTTTACAAAAATAACAATAACAAAACGCTATATAATTACGTAATGCACACGTTACGTAATAATATTGCGTTAATTGAACCTGAGTCTATTATGAAACTTAATGGTTTCAAATAATTGTTTGGCGCTAAGTTTGATAAATGCAACCACTTGCGGAAGTGAAACAAATACCTTTGTTTGAAAGGGTTTCAAATGTCCGCGCAGTAAATTGGATATTATGTAAACTGTAAGAGACCTGAGTTCTAACCTCACACAATACGTAGGTATAAGGTATTGTTTAGTGTATAAGCGATGGGAACCGAACTTTACCATGACCACGTTTAAATTTATGAATTATTATATTTTATCAACATATTATGTTTTATCAAAGATATTCAAGGTTACAGGATTAGCAGTTAAACATTAAAGAGGATGACTAAGGATCAGGAAGTGTCGACTTCAAATGTTAACCACATTCAGAAACGAGACTAGTCTAGGGATACTGAAGTTGCCTAACTACAAGTAGCGGCACGAAACTCTAGCGGTGACCGTTATTGCGCAGAAGTAAAAAACTGTTGTTACGTTTTGTTGTTTTTTGTTACGTTTGAATTTGTTAGTGTTTTGTTGTTTGTTTTTAAGTTTGTTTGTGACTTTAAAGTGAATATGCCTAGAACAAATACTGTTTTGAAAAGACAAGCCTGGAAAATGGCTTATGACGTGAATTGTTTTTTAAAAAGGGAATCTAACGAATTAATTGATTCTTTGAAACAAATCCAAAGTGAGATTGACGAAGCTACAAATACTTTGTTCAGTCATTCGGACAGCAACATTGTAAATTTGAGCCAGATAAAACAAACTGCCGAAATCATTAAGGCAGGAAACATAAAATTTAATAGTATAATCAGCGAATTAGGTAAAATCCAAAAAAGGACAGCAGAGTCAACAAAAACGTCAATTGCAACGGTAAGAAACATCTCCAATCAAGCCAAAAGTTCTGATTTGATCACAGTGTTCAGAACATTTCGTTATCCTTCACATTTCGTTCAGCTTAATATCGTTATTTAGGTAATCATTAATCAAAGTGGCATATAATGTATTGCGTGCGCGACAGTACACATGCGCAGCAATCCCCTCCACGTATCGGCCAGCGCTAGACTTACGTGCCGCTGCCTATAACACCACATTATAAATCCCCACCTAAATCTATCTACTAGATATCTACGTAGGTATTTTATGTTTGCGCGCCGTCCCCAACGCGAAGATAAAGAAGTAATACTACTTATTAACAAATATACGGTACAACAATGTTAAAGAAAGCATGTAAATAATTCATAAACCTACGCTATGTTTTGGGGGATTGTGCCATGTTATAGGCAGCGGCACGTAAGTCTAGCGCTAGCTGATACGTGGAGGGGATTGCTGCGCATGTGTACTGTCACGCACGCAATACATTATATGTCACTTTGATTAATGATTACCTAAATAACGATATTAAGCTGAATCTCACTTTGGATTTGTTTCAAAGAATCAATTAATTTGTTAGATTCCCTTTTTAAAAAACAATTCACGTCATAAACCATTTTCCTGGCTTGTCTTTTCAAAACAGTATTTGTTCTAGGCATATTCACTTTAAAGTCACAAACAAACTTAAAAACAAATAACAAACAACAAAACACTAACAAATTCAAACGTAACAAAAAACAACAAAACGTGTTAAACAGTAACAATAATATTAATGACGCGACTGTACACGGGATGTGCGCGGGGCGTCGTATCGGTGCGGGGGACGGAATGCGACTGGAGAGCCAATCGACGCTACGCGCGCGCCGCCGCTCTTCATTCCGCTAGCCCCCCTCAGGTACCTTATTTTTTACTATCTGCGCAATAACTGTCAGCGCTAGAGTTTCGTGCCGCTACTTGTACTGTCGCGCGGGGGACGGAATGCGGCTGGAGAGCCAATCGACGCTAAGGGCGCCCGCTCTTCATTCCGCTAGCCCCCCTCAGGTACCTTATTTTTTACTTCTGCGCAATAACGGTCAGCGCTAGAGTTTCGTGCCGCTACTTGTAATGATTCAATTTGTTGATATAAACAGATTAAAGTAATAAATACTATCTAACAAACTTTTCACTTGTCACTGGTCATATTTGGAATATGTATAATAACGGAAATACACATTTTTTATAGTTATATACGGTCTAAACAAAACCTATTCGGACGAGTAATTTTGAAGGATTTTATTAGTAAAATTGCGAGTTAAATCTGAAAGTATATAATATAGCAATAGTCAATGTGTACCTCGACCGATAGAGTAAACAATAATTTTCTGTATGTAATACAGATTGTATTTGTAATAGTGTCAAATAAATGTTTAAAGTGCATGTTAGACTTCAATATAGTCGACGAATTACGGGCTTTGACTTTGTAATTTATTGACACAAATAATATTCTTTAGGTTTAAAATTTAAATTATACAAATCAATAAGCAATCATTCATGGAATATATTTTTTATTAATCATATAAAAAGATTATTAATATATAAAAAGTTGTTGTAAACTATCATTTATAATAATTATTAAACTGTTTAAAATCTTTACAAAAACTGTGAACTGAGAAAATGAGTAATCTTTTTGTAATAATACCAAAAAATTACAATTATTGTTATTCGTATTAGATGAGTGCTAAATGCTAAACGTAATGATTATTTGTACGACGTTTTTCCTGGTTGTCATACCTATAGAACTAATAGAAGTATAGAGTAATAAGTAATCAGTCTGTAGCTACTTGTGATAGAAGATGGATATCTACAAGAAAGTATTATAAAATATCGGAATTATTATGGTCTAAAATAAACCGGTGGCACCGAGGTTAGTTTTTTACCTATTACAATATTATAAATTATTTACTGCATTTATTTTCATTTCACGAAAACAATTTATGTTTTCTGAATTTCAGCTTTCTTTATATTTTGCGTAGCAGAGTTAAATCTAGTACCTGGAGGTCAAGTGGGATTTCAGTGTAATGATCCAGCTTTATCGCATCCCTACACAGGAGACACAGTTAACTGGAAATGGCTAATTGGTATAACTATACTTTTACCTTTGGTTGTGGTGAGTTTTAATTTTAAGCAAATAATATAGCAAAATTTATGTTTGAATAAAAGATCTAATTTCTTGTCCATAATTTATATAGATTCAAACTATTAACCTAAAAAAAAGCTTGACCATGTATATGTTAACTTCCAATATTTATTCCAGTTACTCATCACAGAAAGGCAGCAATGCAACCATGAAATAGCCAAGAAGCAAGCATTTGGTTGGTTTAAAGAGTATTTATATGGCTTCCTATTAAACTTGACTATTGTTCAGGCATTAAAGCTAATTGTTGGTTCCCCTAGACCACATTTTTTTGAAACTTGCGTACCTAATGAAGCTCTGACATGTAAAGAGTAAGTATTCACTTAGAATATATTGTAAATTATAACTTATTAGGGCCTTTGTTAAAAAACATATATTAATTTACAGTATAAAATTTGTTTTTAAAACTTAACCGTTAGAAATATTTTTAAAAAACCTTTAAAAGAGCTTATGGCTCCTACCAGCTATATACATATTACATGGATTTTGCGCGATTCTTGGAGATTGTCTATTTTTGTCATGCACTTTAAAACTATTGTGTTGTACCTTTAAATCTCAAACTATTGAGATTGAAGGCGTAAGTTTATACATACTAAACTGACTAGTGTCAGATTATTATTTATTTATTTATTAAGGAAACTAAACAGATACATCACTATACAGAAACAATAAAATAAATAGACACATTGGACATATCCACAAAAAAAGTTTCACTAATAAAAAATACAATACAAAGTAAAACAAGAAAGGTCCTTCAAGAAAAGAGCGTACCAATTTAACACTAAACTAGCACTCTAACAAAAAGGACCATACACACAAAATTTAACACTAAACTGCAGGTTTAATAAAGGTCAAGCAAGATTCAAATAAAGCTAAATACAATAAGAGTTTACTAAGGTCAAGCAGGTTTACTAAGGTTTACCAGGACAACCCAACAGACTGAGTTTAAATAAGAATAGGCAGGCTCCGCTGGGAGTAGCGCCTCAACGTCAATAAGCTCTCAACGTATCTACTTATAGTCGCAAAGACTGATTGTATGATTAATATTAAATAAAAAAAAACTAAGGTCAAAAGTTCTGACTTGGCTCATTTTATGGAATTTGTCTAATGTAACATTGTTATACTAAAACTACAAAACTCTTTTTTACAAATTTATCACAGATTTATTAATAATAAATGTTTTCAGGTCAGAATATGTTTCCAGTTATACATGCACTACAGCACATTGGTTAAAACAGTCCAACAAAAGCTTTCCTTCAGGTCACACATCTCTAGCAGTCCATGCTGCTGTGTTTATTACGGTATTTTCTAAATTAGTTTTCTGTTCCCTTGATGAGTTTATTGAGTTTTTAGTTGCACAACATAAACCATATATTTTCTTGAAACTCTTACCTTGGTCAATAAAAACATGGTGTATACATTTAATTAATTTCTTTTTCCATCCAGTATTACTTGTATCGAAGAGGGAGAAAGTTGAACTCAAAGACTGTTTCCATGGTGCAGATAGTTAGCTTGAGTAGTGCAGCACTATGTAGTTTGTCCCGTATTTGGGACAGACGTCACCACTGGTGGGATGTAATAGCTGGTGCAATGATAGCTTTGCTCTTACTTATGTATACTGTGAGTGTTATCGCTTTTACTTTATTGTTATTATTTTCCTATGAACTTTTTTAAATCTTACTAAGCTTGCAGTTTTTTGTGTATATAGGTGTAAGTATGACCATGCTGTGAAATGAAGTAAATGGCAACCTCATTTCTGGGTCATTTTTGTTTGACTTAACAGGAAATTCATATTTTCAAGTACTAGGACTAGGACTGAAATAATGAAGTAACCAAAAAAAGATGCATACTGAAGATGTGTTGCCTAAAAATAATTATTATATTTATTTTCTATGAAATTTTGCTTTAAATTCAACTCTTAAGAATTTTTATTTTAATCAAAAAAAAAACCATACCATAGTTTTAAAATAGATCACAACCTTCGGTATTCAAGTCCCCCAAAACCTCCTAAACGAGTGATTATTATAAACCATATGATTATAATTACTTTTTCAGATATCTACGCTGTGCAATAACTTTAATTGTTCAAGTCCAAAGAGTCAAGTAAATAAGGAACAAGACACGCTTGTCAAGAATGAAACAGAGACATCGTAAAGAAGATATTATTTAATTTTACTATGAAACCCGAAACCCTTAGCTTTATTTTAGTAGGATATAAGTGAAACCTATTTACTTTGTGCTGTGACTATAGTTAATTTTTTCATGTCCCTTTATGTATAACTACTTCTAAAGTATTTTTTTACTCTTGTTAGTTTATATCTTACTCTTGTCATAAATATTACCAAAATAAACATATATACAGAAATACACACCTAGGTAGAATTTATAATAGATTATATCTACAGTTTTCCAATTCTGTTCCAATGAGTTTATATTTGAAGTCATGTCACAATTCGTAAAAAAAAAACGTGTGGCACTCGGGGACTGCCTCGGTTAAGCTATTGCATAGCATTTTTTATCAACTTATGCAGTTATAATAATTTTTTTATGCAGTATTTGTTTTTCTTTGATATTATTTCTATCTACCACTCTACCAGACTCAGACTAAAACGCCTATATAGTCTGTTTCACTCTAACGCGTAACGGCTGCACCGGCCGCGCTCACGCTACGTCACCGATCTCGTCAGAGAGATGGGAATGCGCAGTATGCGTTCTGTCCCACTCTAACGCGTATTTGCCGCACCTATATTACGTCATCGTGTGTTAGGTTTTTTTCGTTACGGAATTTCTTGATTCTATGCTACTAAATGGCACTTATGAATAAGCAACAGCTTTACATCATTTCATTGCTTTCCACATAAACTTATTCTGATTAGCTATATGATATTTTTTGAGCCAGATGAAGCTACAAATGCCCAGTGGTTTTTCTTTTAGGCCTTTCTAGAAAATATAAAATAAGAAAATGGAGAGTCATGGACATGTATCACATTCCGTGTCAGCTATAATTAGAAAATAAGGATTATGTATTTTTATACACATTAAATTACATTTACCAATAAAAACTTTTATTTTCCTTTTCAACATAAGTTAAGTAAATACTTAAATGCAAGTGAAAAAAATAAATAAAATTAATGCCTAGTTTAAATGGTGTTAAATTAAGTGAGAATTTTTTTGCCAAAACAAATATACAAATTGAACAATTATCGCATAAACATACATTTTAATTCTAGGCTTCCAAGTATGCTTAAATTAAGAAAAAACAGATTTTATGGTAGAAGTATTACTATTACTGATAAATAAAATTAAGTTCGCGTCTACATAATCTGTAATATCTTAAGGTGGGAACTGACCAAAGTTACGAGGTGTAATGTGGCGCGCAACGAGCGTGTACGCACAGCAGGTAAGCGGCTTAAAATCGCAACATTCTCGACAAAATCTGTGCTCGAATTAGTCGCCAGTGCTATCGGCGACGCGCATTGCGGTCAGCGAGGACCTGTTGGCGTCTTTGATTCGCGCGGTGCTTAATTATTGTTTCATCCAAATTAAGAAGAAGAAAAACGTTACTGGACGTCGAACTTATTTAAAAACAGAGGCGTATGTGGGTGGATTGTCAAGATAGCAATTTTAAGAGCTATGAGGACTGGCCACTTCTAAGAACTTGCGCATGTCTCCGATCGCATTGGTGGACACTCTGCATTTAAGCATGCTCGGATAGCTGGGTCCAAAACAATCCTGATAGATTTTTTTTTATCGCGCACTGCATCTTTTAAGAAATAAATACAAAACGATTTGATTAGTCGAAACGCGCGTACGCTTGAGTAGACCTGCAATATGGACTGTCCCAAACCGCGAACACTCCCCAAGGATTCCCCCCATATCCGACAGCCGCATGTTGCACCCAAAGCGGAGTTTCCCGTGACACGACGTAATAAAACTACACTAATACTCGCTCTAAAAATTGGCGCCAGACGGTGTAACGTGTAACTGTAAGTGATACGTGTAATTTAGCATCAACAGTGTGGACGGCATACGAACTCAAAGCGAATTGTGAACGCGGCCAATCTTTCAAAACCTGTTTGCCACTCAGTGCTACGAACATGCCAGAAACTTTGGACTTTTCCTGTTTCTCTTCGATGTAACTGGGCAAGACTAATCATTTTGTTTTTGCATTCTTCTACATCTCTTTCCAATGAATGAGCAATATCACTCCAAGCATCGTGTTTAGATTTTTTATAGTATTGCGGTTTTTGGATCCCAAATAACGGTTTTTTGAACAAACTCCGCAGTTCAAGCGATTGTTCGTCACTCCACCATCTTGACCGTACATAGACACAACCGTCACGAACGCCGTCAAACGAGCAGTCGAGCGTCTTTGTTTCGCGCGAAAAACCGACAGCCGGGTGGAACAACCCCTAGCGCGCGCGACCGTTAGCATGTAATGCTCGTAGTGCCGTCCACAGAATTCGTGTTACATTACACGGCGGATTACGACTGCACGTTACACTCGTCTGGACCCGGCTCAACGTGTTACATTACACCTCGTAACGTTGGTCAGTTCCCACCTTTATAGGCCATGATTATTCCGTCAAATGTCTGCTAGACAAACTTATTACAAAACATGGACATACCATAGTTACATTTTAACAATGAATATGGTGTATAAAATGAACTTTATGAATAGAATCTTAATTAACACCCAAAAACATGGCGGATAGAAGAGAAGAGCCTTAACATAAGAATTTGAAATAAAAATTATTTTAATGGCTGAGTATCTTCAGACAGCGTTTTGTCCTCCACAAGTTTGTTGAAGTGTTGGATAAGGCCTTCCACAGACATTTCTCCGTGCACTTTATTGTCACGTGTGCGCACGTTAACCGTACCAGAAGACTTTTCGCGTTCACCCACCACTAAAAAAATATATAATAGTATAAAATAATCCCAAATAAAAACTATGTTGCCGAAATTTAAGCGGTAGACCCAAAAAATCTTATGAAAACTATATAAAATATATTTTTTATTTATTTACACTTAAGTTACATTAACATAAATTATTAGGGTTGCCACGGGCGGCCCTATCGTGAACAAGCGATCTATATCCAGGCAACCCTACATTAAATAGTTTTCGTATGTAGTTGCAGTCATATGGGACTCATGTTAGGGAAATTATTTGCCTATCACCCCGATACAATTATGCTTTATCCACTTAAAAACAAATTCAATTTCATCAATCAACGCATGAAACTACACGCCTATTTATTTGGTAAATTTCCTTAAATACATTTTTATTCTTGTAAATATAATTCTCCTTACCCAATATATAGTTAAACTGGGCCAACTGTGCATTCCTTACTTTCTTGTTAAGTGTATCACCGTGATCAATATCTGCTTCAGACATGAATCCAGCTGCAAATAATTTGTCTTTCACCTGCAAATAATAAAATTTAATTACATTCAAAATAACACAAGACTGTTAACAATTTTAGCATTAAATATTTTCCTCTAAATGAGGAACATGTATGGCATGATGACAAAAGATCAAAATTTAGTTTTCCCAGGAATCGAATTCGGCAGGTCGGAGAATATAAGCCAAAGCAATGTGCCTAAAGGCGTTATTTTATATGTAGGTAACAATCAGAATTTCAATGGACTTTCAAAAAAAAAAATATTCTCATTTATACAACTACAATCTATATATTTGAACTAGAATAAATAAAATTAGTAATTAATTCGGATAAATAATTTACATCTAATATTGCGTGATTATTTTGTCTATCAATAGTATAACATAATAAAAAAAATAAGCATTTATCATTATAAAAATAAGTTTATCACCTGTATCGCATAATCATCGTACACTGGACCGATCGGCACGACACACACTTGTCTAGGACTGAGCCAGAAGGGCCACTTGCCCGCGTACGACTCGCTCAGGATTGCTATCATTCTCTCCACAGAGCCGAGAATGGCTCGATGGATTATCACCGGTCGCTTCTTTTCACCAGTTTCACTATAAATAAAAAAAAATATCGGTTGTCTGTTTTATTAAACTAGAGACAATTCATAATAATACCGTGGAATGTCATTTTCAAATTCAATTTATTTGTTAACATGAATAAAAATTAATGGAAATCACAATTGAATGAAAATTACATTTATTTAAAAAGGAAAATTATGTCACTTTACGAAGCGAACGAGTTCTCGCTTGCACTTCAACATACGCCTCAGAGCGAGGTAACGCCGCATGAGTCATTTTTTTTTGCGTGCACCTCCATCGAATTTAAAGTTTAACGTCAAAAAATAATTATACTATTATTTAAAATAGATTACTGATAACAAGTATATTTTATTAATTAACATTTTAAAATATATGAAATTTACAGTATTAACATGCCTGACATATGTCAAGTTGAATCTCTCTGGTAGTTGGAAGTCAAGTTGTATGGTAGCGCATTGGTGTGACCGTCTTAGTGCATCTTGTATTGTTATATCAATTTTGGGACCATAAAACGCGCCATCTCCCGGGTTTAATTGCCAGGGCTTGCCAAATTTGTTCAAAGAATCTTCTAGAGCCTGGAAAGGAAGAAAATTAAGGAAGGAAGAAATTTAAATAAAACTGCAGTGTTGCAATGTTTTAAGATAGATTTTGGTAAGAATTTTTTTATTGTTAACAGAACAGTTTCCTATATTGTTTTTCACATTATATTGTGAGTTGTGAAGAATAAAAAAAGGTTTATTATTATTATATAGTTATCTATTATTGTTATAACCAATCTTTGGATCAATTTTAAATTAGATTAATTCGAAATTTAAATATTTACATTTTATATGTACATTTAAAAGCACAAAGCACAATAATCCTAATCCACAAGAAAGGAGACAAAGAAGACCTTAGCAACTATCGTCCTATCAGTCTTATGTCCAACGTGTATAAAGTCTTTGCAAAAATCATTCTCAACCGCATCACCAAACAACTTGACGAACAACAACCTATCGAGCAAGCCGGATTTCGGTCTGGATTCTCCACAATAGACCACATGCACACCTTGAAGCAAATTGTCGAAAAGTGCCAGGAATATGGATATCCCCTGTATCTGGCTTTTGTCGACTACAGCAAAGCTTTCGATTCTTTGGAGCACCCATGCATTTGGAGAGCG